ACTGATAATCACTCAGTGCTTCCCCAAAGGGAAACTCTATTATTATATAAAGCCAAGAGATAGCCAGACACCCTCATTTGCCATTCTAGTCTATAATGGTTCTTTAATCCTATGATGGAAAGAAACAATACTTCAAAGCACAATATAAAATACTAGCTATTCTTTGCCTACCCAGGTCTCAGAGTCTGAAAAACCACTGGGACAACATTTTCACTTAATCTAGCACCTGCTGCGTGCTTCTGCTAGATTCTAGGGTCTAGATCTATGAAGAATTTGCATCTTCAGTACCAGTATGGTTACTGAAGGCAAAGAAGAGTCATGTTCAAGAGAAGGCCGTACAGTCTATTGTCAGGTTCAAAACCTGGTTACACAACTTCCTAGCTATGTGACCTTAGATAAGTTACCCAACTCTAAAATACAGAAAAATAGAGTATTCATCTCACAGGACGGTGGTAAGGACTAATGAGAAAATGTGGACACTTGGCAAAGGGATAGGCACTTGGTAAGTGCTCAATAAACAAAACCACATCTCCAAAAATCTCATGAATACTACAGGCTCAACTACAGACATATAAACACATTCACTTCATTTTGTGTGTCACCCAGCAGGATAAGATCCCAAATTAAGGTTTTATGGAATATAATATACCCTGCCCAAGTTGACTGAAAGTTCATAAAGGGAAGGGGCTAGATTCTTAGTTTTATCTGGGTCTCCTCTGTATCCATCACAGTACCATGAACCAGAACTAATCCACTCCCCACTCATGGGTCTGAAACACAAAGGCATACCTGGGTTTCTCCCAGCCCTGGGACACGGTTTCATCTTTGGGATTTCACCCCTAGTTAAGCCCCCTGAAGAAGAGCAGCTTATGGATTCAAAGTTCTCCTACCTGAAATTCCAATGAAAAATTCTGTTCTTAAAGTTGGTCACCACCACCTAGGAGGAAAACTATTAAAACTGCACCTGTGATGTTCGGAATAGGCAAATCTATAAAGACTGAAAATACATTAGTGGTTGACAAGGGCTAGGGACATGGGTTGGGGGGAGCTGGGAGAAAATGGGGAATGACTACCAATGAGAATCAGATTTCTTTTGGGGTGATGGAAATACTCTGAGATTGACTGTGGGGATTACTGCACAATTCTATGAATGTACTAAAAACCTCTGAACTGGATTCTGTAAGTGGGTGAACTATATCTTAATAGAGTTGATATTTTTAAATTTTTAAATTTTGCCTCACCTTCGACTATCAGAATAAGGCTATTCATTCTATCTCAGAAAGCAGAAGCCAAATTTACAGCAACAAGTCCATAAGCCAACTCTCAAGATGGAAAAAAAAATTCCTGAAACCCCATGCCACTCCTCAAAACCAACAGCCTAATTCACTTTCATTTCTATGAAACCACATTTGGTTTGCCACTGGGTCCATGAAACCAGCCCTGAAGTCCAAAGCATTCTCTGAGCTTTTCCTGCAAGGCAAGAGTGAGAGGCAGCCAGCCCAGCCACTGAGGGGGTATATTAATCTATCAAGAAGGTTAAAAATTTAAGTTACCAAGATGTTATTAGGAACAGAAAGTATATTGGGAGACTTATTCTTTTTTTTTTTTTTTTTAACTTGTGGAACTTTTTTGGCATAGCCACATTATCCAAACAGGATTATCAGGATTCTTCCCACCAGTGGTCAATACATACACAATTGTGTAAGTTATGAAGAAGGCATAAGCCTAACTCCCTGCACCCAAACCAAAATATATACCTCTGCTCTTACTAACTTTTGTTCTGAGTCTTGACAACCCTGAATGCTGGAAGATGATTATAACTACCAACACATGAGCAGTGCTATGCACCAGGGTCCAAACTAAGTGCTTTCTTTACAAGCACTGATTCATTTAGTCCTCAAACTAGAAGGTCAGGGTGGCTACTACCATTTTGCATAGAAGGGGCTCAGGCTCAGTGATTTGTCCAGAGTCAACCATTAAGTGATGGGGTTAAGATTCGAACCCAGGAAATGCTAAACCTTAATTCTACAAATCTGAACTTCATCTCCAGCTTCTATCATCTCTACAGAAAAACAGAAAGTCTTGAACATACAAAATCCTCCCGACTGAAACACTGATTCATCAGGGCACGGAACAAATCCTGAGCATATGAGCACCCACAGAAAAGACCTGGGCAAATCAGGACAGAAAAAAACTGACATAGAGTCCCCAAGGTAGGTCACAAATATTTTATTGTTTATCTTCTATGTATCCAAACCAGAGGTTTGGACTCCAGGGAAAAACTTGAAGGGTGTTATTTGTTTATCAAATTCTCAAGGGGATTCAAGAGACAACTGACCTAAACAACAGTTTTGCTTCAGGGTTAAGTGCACAGGCTTTGGAATCAGACAACTTGGGTTCAAGTACACTTAACTGCTTTGTCACTTTGAGCAGGTTATTGACCTCTCTGATCTTCAGTTTCTTCATGCATAAAATAAAAGTAGTAATAACAATGATCTAGCTGAACTTTGCAATCCCAAGAGGCTAGTTTTATTGCCTCAGATTAACACATGAAGGAAACCTAAACCCAAATGTCTGTGAATGCTAATTATAAAATAAAACCATAAAATTTTATAGCTGGGAAAGACTGTAAAACATCTAATCTGGGGTTATTTATATAATTATGTATTTATTTTGTGTAATTAGTTTTACATTTTCAGTAGTGAGAAAGATGAAGAGAAGAAAACTAATACACAATACTAAGATAGTAATACATACTGCAGCAAGCACCTAATGATAATGGAATGCCTGAAATCTGGGAAAGAGTGATGAACTCCACCCTTTCCACTGAAGAGGTCACACATGACCTATTTAAGTAATAGTAGCAAGGAGTATAGTTAATACATACAAACGAATATACAGAGATTAAAACATTTAGGTCCTTACTAGTCTTTCCCCCAAGTTACAGGCTGCTCCATTCCATTAGATAACTTAAATAACTCTTAAACCCTATCACTGCATCATTTCCTCCTACGCAAGGAATTTCTACCCCTGCCAAAAAAAGAGTAGCAGGCAAATAAATTTCCAGTCACACTAATGCACCCTACTCATACTCACGACAGACATACAAATGCAGTTCCAAATTCTAGTAGGCTTGGTCCAGGGGGTCCACTCTGGGTAAGCAGGATGGGAAAGGATTAAGAGTTCTGTATTAGCAGGAACTCTAACTCTGGCTCAGACCATGTAGGGGTTCAAAACTAGGCCCCACTGCTGGAGCTGTGTGACTCTGGACTAGTGACTCCACCAAGCCTGTGTTCTCATTTGTAAAATGAATAACATGAGATAATTCACTGGCAAGGAGTCAGTCCCTGTAGCCACAGGGGCAACAGACTAGTCACCGCTACACTGTCAGGGCCCAAAGCAGTACCTAGCACCCCGCAGCCGCTCCTACGTTTGCTTGAATAAAGCAGAAGCCCAATTAAACCCAGGCTGAGAGTCGATCAAAATTCGTGGGCCCAGTCTATGAGGGAGCCCCTATCTTACCCCAAACCAGGGGTGGAGTGTTACCTGAACCAAGGATGGTCACGGAGAAAGGAAGAATAGGCTTCAGGTCATCAGAGACCCTGCCTCTGAGGAACCTCATCACACCACAGTTTTATGTGTATTTCACCCCCCAAAAGACTGGCAATTGCTGTCCTGGGGTTCCATTATCTCCCTTTTCATTTTTAGAAGCAACAGGATCACAAAATGACATCTCAGGCACTTGACTTCTGGAAGTCTCCTTTCAAGAGGCCTGGGAACAATGTTCACAGGTAGGACCCCACTCAGCCAGTGCAACCTGTCTTAGCTGAAAGGTATCACCTATTAAGAAATCCATCACACAGACAAGAAAAGGTAAGTCAAAGACATTTCCACTATCTTCCTTCATGTCATTCCTGATTCTCAAAACTAAAAGATGGACCAAACTATTTTTAAATGGGCAGACTGAAAAGGCATCAAAAACAACCTCACAATCCAAGGAGCTCATCCCTAGAACACTCTTGTTTGGCCAGGAGAAACTCTCTGGATCTGCAAAAGTCAAGAGAAAATCATACACTGAATGCAAACCTCATCACCCCCCACCCCCGGCCCCACCAAAAGGAAATAAGTAAAAACGGTTTTACAAAAGGCTCAAGAATCTTAAAGGATGAGCTTAAACTTCTGCTTTCTGAGTGAGGCCGGAGGACATTCCCTCAAAACCTTTGAGTTTTCAAGGATAATGGGAGAGGTAAAAAGGAGAGCGAGGGAGAGAGTCAGGATATGTTCGTTCTATTTTTACCCTCGCCCACAGTTTAGAGTAAAGGAACACGCTGATGCTGTGCTCCCACCGCTGTCACCTTCTGCTAAACACAAGAATCAGAACCTGCACACGTACGCGGCCCTGGGTTACCGGCGGCCACTACCGCCCAGAACCGCGAGCTAACCAACCATTCCACCCAGCCCTTCCCTGGCAGCGCCCGTGCCTTTCGGAGAACCCGGCGGCCCGGGCGGACTGGCGGACAGAGAGCGAAGCCATCACGAGCCGCGTTTTGCTGAGGGGAGGCAGCGCCCCCTTGGCAGGGCACGTTCCGCTTCCCCGCCTGGGTACCCAGGGGTGAGCGAGTGTTCCCCCAGGGGAGCTGGAGCGGTGGACGCGGTGGCGTTTCCCAACGGGGTGCGGCGCGCCAGGCACTGGCGTCTCGCTGCCGGGACACCTGTGTGCCGCGCACACCCGGCCGCCGTGCCCCAGAGCACCGCTCGCCCTCGGCCACCTCCCGCCGGCCCAGAACGCCAACGGCCGAGCGGCCGGTCCCCCTCCTCGCCGACTGCTGCTGGCTCGCCCATCCCACGGACCCTTCTCGCCCCGCTGTAAGCATCCACAGCCGTCCCTCATGGCCCCAGGGCGGAACGGCAGCCGCCGGCGCGCGGACGCCCAGGGCCGAGAGCCGCCCGACGGCCCTGCCGCCTCAGGGCCCCGTCCCCGCGGGGCTCCGGACACTCACTCCTGAGCGCGCTGATGAGGGACTTCCCGTCCTTGATGAGCTCCTTGATGAATTTGTTGGTCTTGTCCAGCTCCGCTTCGTGCGACTTGAGCGTCTCTCGGAAGTGCGGGCTGTCGAGGCAGCAGTCGCTGAACTCGAGCGCGGGGAGCCCCATAGTGCCCGCGTCGCCCAGCCGGGGGACGCGCCTCCCCCAGCGCCCGGGAGGCCCGCAGCCCCGAGCACGCACGCGGCGGGACCCCGGCCGGGACCCCCGACGCCCGCCGGCTCCACAGGTGTGGCGCCGGCTCGCCCTCCGCGCGGTGTCCGCCGGCGCGCACGACTCCTGACCCGAGCGGGGACCCGGCCGAGGCGCGGCTGCTCCGGCGGCGCGCCACGGAGCGGCTGGCGGGCAGGGAGCGCAGCGACAGACCCGCAGCGGTGCCGGGAAGCGAGAGACCAGGCGAGCGAGTGCGGCCGCCGCCTCCCCGCCTCCTTCGCCTGTTCGCTCTCCAGCAGCCTCGAGCGCCCTCTCACAGCAGCCTCAGCCGCCCTGCCGGCGTCCGGGCCGCTCGAACCTGCTAGCGATGACCTAATCCCAGCCGGACCAATCAGCACGTCCGCCTCAGCCCGACCCCCCCTGCCGCCCGGGGACACCCGGCCCTTCCGTGGCCTTCACCCAATCAGCTGGGCGTAGAGGCGGGGCCTGGGGCAGGGGGCGGGCCCACGCCACCGCCTAGGTCCGCAACACAAGCTCCGCCCTCTCCCGCCCGCGCGGTGTTGCAGACCCGGTGCAGAAGGGGTGATCGCTGTGGTGCATGGGCCCTTGCCACTCGCGATTTTGCTGACCTGTTGCGGCCAGGATCCGAACCCGAGGTAGTGCTTCTGCAGGTCTGCGGAACGGAGGACCCTAAATATGCCTAGTCTGAAAAAACTGGGAATTGGGGCTGCAGTTCCGTTCAGCCCGCCCTGCACGCCTGGGCAATCGAGCTTTCACTCAAAATGCAGCCCCCTACCCCGGGAGAACCTCGAGCGCAACGAACCACCATGTCAACCCTAAACACACGCTCCTTATTCCAGTCAAGCAGAAAATATTTGCATCTTTGAATTACCAGCTCTTCTTGCCTGCAGTTTTTCTCGCCCCCCACAGTCCGTCCCCCTCATGGCCACTCCTGCTCAAAATCCGCCCACGGCTGCCCCCAGCAGAAAGATCTAACACCCTTACGAGAATTTCAGCCGCCTGTTGTTTTCCTGCTGGGCATGTAGCACAATTTTACATAATTACGTCCTCTCTGTCGTCCTTAGATACACTGTGCCTTCACGAGGGCACGGACCGCTGCAGTTTTGTGAGCTGCTGCATTCCCAACACCTACACCAGTGGCTTGCATTCAATAACAGATAGTGAGAGCTTACCATGTGCTACGTGTAATACTCGTGCTCAGGTGATTGACAAATATTTGTGGAATAAATGAATAAATCTTTCCCCACCTCCCACCGCCAGTGCGCTGCCTTGTTGTCCCTCTGTTCCACCACTGGAATCAATCCAGGCAGCTCACTTACTGCACTTGTCAGGCTGGACCCCACAGTGTCTAGTGCTGAATTGTGAACTCCTGGAGGATAGGGACTGTCCCTGCAAAAATTTGTGTATGTCCAGGAACTAGCAGCCCTCCTTCAGTTAAGGTTTTTTTGTTTGTTCTGTTTGTTTTTTAAAATAGGTCTGCTATGTGCAGGCGCTAAACTAGATGGTACAGATACTAAGATGAATAACACAGAATGAACTTAACTGCTGCTGGTCGGTGGGAGAGACAGGAGAAAAGCAAAAGCACTGCATGATGAGACAGGAGAAGGCCTCGGGGCTTGGAACATGGGGAAAAGTCTGCCAACTCAGGAGCCAGAGAAGGCATCTATGTTGAGAAATAAATTGATCGGTTTATTGAATGCATAAATGAATGAATGAGTGTGATCTGTTTGGTGTTGTATCTACAAATTTAGACTTGAGAGCAGGCCCAAACAGCTATGGGATAGATAATTAAAACCCTGAAAATAGTTGCTCCTCACTTGCCAAGGATGAGAAAGATCTGCTTAATGCTGTATTTTGAGCATTTAAAAGGTAGGTGTTCTGGTTCTCTATGGATACATAACAAATCACACTGAAACTTAATAGTCTAAAACAACAATCTTTTGATTTTCTCTCATGATCTCTGGGGACCAGGAATCTGGGGAGAGCTTAGACTCCAGCTTAGAGTCTCTCCTCTGTTCCCAGTCAGATGGTGACAGGCGCTGGAGCAGGGGTGGTTAGCTGAGCTGCTCCCTCTCCTTGGGTGGGCCCAGGGCTTCTCCATGTGCTCTGTGTGTGCCCAACTTTGGGCTTCCTCACTGCATGGCAGTCTCAGGACTCCAGTGTGAATGTCCCATCTCACAAGGGGAAAGCTGCACCACCGTTTATGGCCTAGCCTTAGAAGTCACAAATTTCTACCACTGTCATTAGCTACAAGCAAGTCACAATCCCTCACAGATTCAAAGGAAAGGGAATGAGACTATGCCTCTAGGTGGGGAAGTGACAGGAATGGGAGATATTGTTACAGCCATGTTTGAAAAAAATAATCTGCCACAGTGGGCCTGGCACATGATATTCAATAAATGTTAAATGAATGAAACAAAATGGGGGCCACAATGATTTATCTTCTCCTGTTGTGGAATATTGGGCAATTGTGTATAAAGTAAAATAAATGTATTAATAATAATAATAACGTTAGCTATCATTTGTCAAGCGCTTAGTTTGTGCCAGGCACTATGCTAAATTATTTACATGCATTTAATCCCTACCAGGTAATATTGGTACTATGATAATCCCCATTTTTCAGGTGAGAAACTGAGGCCCAGAATTGTAAATTAAACCAGGTTACCTAGCTAAGAAGTGTGTGTGATACATACATATACACATATACCTTAATATGTCCATTTACAGGCAAATACGTATGGATAACATTTTATTTCTTATTAATTTAATTCAGAATTTCCATAAGCACTTCCCACACTTCAGGCAATATTATCAGAAAAAGAGAATCAGAATGCAGTAGTATTGAGTACAAAACTGGCACATGGAAGGTGCAGTTATCTCTCTCTTCCTAGAAAATAAACTCCATAAAGTTGAGATTTTGTGTTGTCTGCTGCTACAGCCCCAGGTCTTAGAACAGCAATGGGTACTTCAGAGCTGCACAAGGCCAATAGGAGGGACATGAGTTGAATAAGGAAGAAACAGCAATGCATGTGACAACATAGGCTGTAGCTATGAAGGAAAATAAAGCAAAAATCACTTTCATAGGAAATATAGAAATAATTTAGGCAAAATAACTTGACCTAGATTCTTTGGAAGATGTCTGAATTCCTTCCAACTAGTCAAACAATAAGTCTAAAGAGTTCTATTTTCAGTATCAGTATAGTTTGAATCCGTAACCTCTGACTTCAGTTGTCCAATTTATTTTACACCTGCCATACAATGACCTTCCATTTGTAGAAAATTGGAGAGCATTCTCATATAGGTTCTCTCTGAGCCCACATAAGCAGAGGTGAGCAGAGGCCACTCATTCATGGCTCCTGAACACAAACTGGAGAACAGGGCTGGTCCATGATGAAGGTTCTTAGGTCCTCCCGTAACTAAGGACCAGAAATAGATGTAGCCTCTGGGGACTTGGATGATGACGTCAGCACAAGATTTCTCTCTCCATCCCATGAGCTGACCTTCCTCTATGGTGCCTTCATTCTCAGTGGCTCTCTGCTCCTCCAAACTTATATCCAGCAATATTAGCAGTAACAGAGGGGTTTTTTTCCCCCAAGAATTAGAGCAGAAATTTAAAGACTGAAGCCAGGGGTTAAACAGCCCCACTCCCAAAACGTAAAGCACCAGGGAGGAGTTGTTTCCCCCAAAGGACAAACAAAGGGCTGTTAACAGGAAAAGAGGGAATTAATGCTGAATAGGCAGAAGCAATAATAAGCAGTACATCTGACCAGTCCCCCAACCCCCTCAAAATGAATGCTCCTGGGCGCCTGGGTGGCTCAGTTGGTTAAGCGACTGCCTTCGGCTCAGGTCATGATCCTGGAGTCCCTGGATCGAGTCCCGCATCGGGCTCCCGGCTCGGCAGGGAGCCTGCTTCTCCCTCTGACCCTCTCCCCTCTCATGCTGTTTCTCTCTCTCTCTCTCAAAGAAATAAATAAAATCTTAAAAAAAATGAATGCTCTTTTTGCTACATTTCCATGGTTTTGTAATTCTACTTAGCACATATTCATTCTTTTTTATAGTTGATACCATATGTTGCTTTTTATACAGTGACTTCACCTTTGTATTATTACTGGATAAGGCATCAGTTTTCCAGTTTTAAAAGAATGATTTGGAGATTGTGTTGTAAATATTCTATGTCTCAGTTGTGGTGATGGTTACACAGGTGTCGACATTTGTTAAAATTTTATTGTGTCTAAGCTACACCCCGATAAAGTTGATTTTAAGAAATAATGATGGGGGCGCCTGGGTGGCTCAGTCATTAAGTGTCTGCCTTCGGCTCAGGTCATGATCCCAGGGTCCTGGGATCGAGCCCCGCATTGGGCTCCCTGCTCCGCGGGAAGCCTGCTTCTCCCTCTCCCACTCCCCCTGCTTGTGTTCCCTCTCTCTGTCAAATAAATAAATAAAATCTTAAAAAAAAAAAAAAAAGTCTGAATGACCTACATTACCAGATATCAAGATTATAAAGCTCTATAATTAAAACAGTAGGGGATGGGCATAAAAATAAATAAACAGACCAAAGAACAATAAATGAATCCAAAAACAGACCCACTCATATATGGTCACCTGATTTACAATAAAGGTGACACTGCGGAGCAGTGAAGAAAGATTTAATAAACAGCACTGTACGAAATGGCTACCCATAAGGAGAAACAAATTAGTCTTGACCACTACCTTACACTACACAGAAAAAAACAATACCAGATGGAACAGAAATCTAAATGTGAAAAATAAAATATCACAGCCTTTAGAAGAAAATATACGAAAATGTGTTATTGAAACTAAAGCTGTAAGGGCGCCTGGGTGGCTCAGTCATTAAGCGTCTGCCTTCGGCTCGGGTCATGATCCCAGGGTCCTGGGATCGAGCCCCGCATCGGGCTCCCTGCTCAGCGGGAAGCCTGCTTCTCCCTCACCCACTCCCCCTGCTTGTGTTCCTGCTCTCACTATCTCTCTCTGTCAAATAAATAAATAAAATCTTAAAAAAAAGAAAGAATGATGATGGTAGTGATATTAATGATGATATTTATTTGAGCTTTTTTTCTGTAGTAGGATCTGTGCTAAGTACTTTACTGCATTTCCAACCTCTACTAAAATCTGGGAAGTAGGTAGCATTACCATCCCTGTTCTATAGATAAAGCAACTAAAGATTAGAGAAGTAAGGTGACTAAGGTCACATACTTAATGGTAGAACTAGGCTAAGAATTCAAATCTATCTGTTTTAAGTAACTATCTGCATATAAGATATCTATAAGAAAGATATTTTATATATATATAAAATTAATAATACTAGCCAAA